GTATTTGGAAACTATCATGAGGAATCAGCATCCGCTACTACCCAAACTTTTCTGGCTTTTCTGGCCACCAGTGTCCGTTTATTGTCAGTGGCCAGAGATGTTTTTGTTTGTTGTTTCTGCCCATAACTCAGTACTTTAGTGATAACTGTCCAGAGAATTTCTAAGACAGGCGCACTACTTAGGCTGAGTTCAAACATCGTGACGGCCAAACAGGCCACACTCTACGCTAGGTTATTCCCAGCGGGTCGTATTTGGTCGCTGGAGGGAGGAGTAGCAGGGGACGAAATTGAAGGGAATAGTGAGCACTACAGGTGCACAGGTGCTGCAAGGTCATAAGCGTTTCATACCTGGGATTCTTTGCCACAAAAGGATGTTCGAGTCGAAAGCATACAAGACCGTCGTCTGATAAGTCCCACTGCATTTTACTGAAAGTTGACCCATGATTCGTACAAGAAATTCGGTATAGCTCTTGCTGCTGATAAAATACGCGAAGCGCTCCTTCTATGGTGTGCCCATGTGCACACCATACCTTGGAGGTATAGAAGGCGTGGCTTGTACTTCATTCAAACTTTGCGTAGGATGAGTTTTTTTCGTGAGATGTTCCCGTTAGGACAACTGTCATCCTATCCTGTGGTGTACAAAGGCATGATGACAATTGTTCCAAACCAGCAACACACGCCTAAAGAGTAGTCGCAGCCAAACTCAAATGAAGTACGCAGTCACGCCCTCCTTAGCTCGAGCGAGGTATGTAGTGCACTTCATGCTAGGGTTGATACCTTTCCTGTTCTCCAGCTCCACGTGACGGGGAAGCGGTCCGAGCGACTTCAAACAGCGCTTAGTGGACACGCTGCGCTTGATAGTACCAGAGCAGTGTCCCCACCAACCATGTTTACAGGAGTTTGGAGGTTCCATCTAACCGGCTTGGCAAGTTTGTTCTTTTTCGCAGCTTTACAAGAAGTCACAGGTCTCGCCATTCGAACAAACCGAAGAACCTCGAAAAATAAGAGAATTCCCCCATCCCTCTTCCTTCCCTCGGAGCCGAAAGTGGACACTATGATCCCATATGCATGTCCGGAACTTGAGCATTAGTCGTTCACTCTGATTATGGGTGAATTTGCGCTAATGCCACATTCTGCTCTCGCTTTTTTGCACCTGGGGTGGTAATGAGTGAATGAAACTTCTTCGTTGGTCACTTTGGAAAGATCATGACCTTTAATTCTTTTCCGATTAGGGGTGGGACAGGGTGCAAAAGTACAGTTCGCCCATGGAGCGCATACATGAAGCTCTTTTCGCATGGAATGCGATTGGTTATTAGCGCAGAATTGTTGTTGATGCCTGTATTTTCAGAATCTGTACAGCCGACCTCAATGGGATTCCAAGGAGAACACAATGGATTTGCAGGGTCAGCTCATCAAAAAGGGTTCCATAGCAATGTTGTCCGAACAGCTGAAGGCCTGTGTCTCTCAGTATCAGAGCAGTCTCCAGAAACTTACCGTCTGAAAAATCACGTAGGGTGGCGCAGATACTGTGGGCAGTCTTGAGATGAAGCCGTTGGAGGAAGTAGATGAATGATTTCACTTCCTCGGCGATGGTAAAAACAAGAAGTGTAAATAGGGAGCTAGAGTACCTAGTACCGCTTGAGCTCAGGAATCTTTTACCACGGATCTTCATGATACGATCACTCTGGTGACGCAGATTTTGATGGTAAGCAAGGAGCCATGAGGAAAGAACTCCTCCTAACACACATCAGGACGGATTCGCCCAGACTTTTGAGCTAGACGGTTTTTAACTCCAACATTATAGCCAAACGCAGTTTCTTGCCGCTTTAAATACGCTCACGTTTGGGGTTACCTCGGTCTTTGAGAAAAACCTGCCTCGCTTCTGGCTTACGAGTTTTGAAGCCAGGGGTCTGAAATGCCTGAAAGATAGTATTTGTAGAGTGGGAATGGAATCCACTTCAAATCTTCGATTTCCTCACTGCAAAGCAGAATTCCGGTCCTCTACACCAAAAATCGAGACGGCCAAGACTATCGTAATTTGCCGCTCAATAGCGCGCGGCTTTCTTTTAACTAACGTTGGCCTGTCGATTGGAGCACCAGATTTCATCTAGACCATGACATTAGTCTGCGTTCATACTTTGCGACAGCGCACTCCACCACCGTCCACCACCGACTATCATCGTTTCGAGCGTCCGTCAGCGTCAGCGGTTGAGAAAGAATAAATGTTGATCCAGCGAACGGCAGCGTCTATCAGCGCCTACCGGCGCCTCGATGGACTAGGAAAGTATGGATATCGATATAGCGTTTAATAGCGTCCTTCAGCGTCCACTAGCGACCAGGAATAGAGAGTATGGTGAACGACGAGGGTAGCAACTGCTGACAGAGAATGGGAAAGTAGCAGGGAGGAAACAGCTAGATTAGGCGTCGTGAAATTGTAACGTGTGCAACACACCGTACTACCACACAACACCGTACTTCTGGTCGCTGGTAGACTGCCATTCGCTAGATCGTATCTATACCTCCCTAGTCGCCAACTTTAAAGGACGCTCGAAACGCTGATAGACACTGTCACAAAGTATGAACGCAACATTTATGGCTGCTTTTGGTTATGCACTGTCTATGATCGCTATCGACGACCAAAATATTGTCTTTTGCGCGACGTCGCACGCGACGCTCACCAAGCGGACTATTATGGTTATCTTGTTACGTAACCAAAAACTGAAAGAACAACAAAAATTTATAGATCATTTTTATTCCTGACTCGAGAAACATACACATGTGTCTCATAGAAACATCATACGGAGAGAAGAAGAGAATATACACAGCGCAACTCATGCGGTCCACGTAGCCAACAAATACATAAGTTAATATTATTTAGTCAACATGTATGCCCCTAGAACGAATGAAGAACGAACGAATGAACCAAATGAACGATGATAAAGAGGAGATTCTAAACAACGCAACTTGGTTTCAAAATGTATAACTTACAGTATAAGACGGCGCCGTTAGCAGCAACAGAGAGCACAAAAATTAGAGAACGCAGCTAACAAAAAAAAGAAGAGATGAAACGAAAACGAAAAAAGACATCACCTTATCAGTAGTTATGGTATATTATATATGTGGAAAATGGAAAAGGAAGGAATTGAATCTTCACAAAGCAGCATCGGCTGAGCAATTCATATTAGAACAAAACAGGGAAGGACGACTTGAGTTGAGGTTTATCGAGGGATGAACACGAAACCGCGACGACTATGGGCGCCTCGGATCGGTTCCCGTCGAGACAAACAACGCATACAAAACCACATTCACATAGAAATCTTGACCCGATAATCCCAGGTGCACGAAATATAGGATAAAAACATAGATGATGAAGAAGACTGATAGTAATGATGATGAAGACCATGTGTGGATCAGAGTTACGGCATATTTACCACTTCTAGATCAGGTCAAGTACAACCGGATCGAAAGTAAATTTTATGTAGGAATAAAAGAGAAACACTAGGAGATGGTGGACGAATAGCGATGGCGTCGCATGCGTTACACAACCTGACAACAATAGCCAATATCATGATGGGTCAGAACTACAATCTAGGGGGGTAGAATAGTCACATTACAGGCCCTTACAGCCATCAGCAGCAATACTTACATGGTTTGTCCCGAGCCGTAAATTAAAAATACACAGACATAAGTAGCAGAGTGAAGAAAAAAAGGACAGACATTGGATAAAAAAAGACAACAGAAAAGAACCGGACAAACGAGGACCTTACTGAGAGGGGCCAACCGTTGGAGGCCCTACCGGTATTCAACAATACCTACGCTACGCATCTGATGCTCTATATCGAAATGACTCTCATCCGTTATTGAGTTCCACGTATATGAAAGGTATACACACACGTACACGTACACACGCACAGACACCTAAACACACACAGATAGACACATATCATCAGCGGTTATGAAATTTCAGAATGAGGCGAAACGGCGGCACGTGGCAAGTGATGGCGCTAGAAGAATCAATCGTGGTTGAACGATATATACCAGTCAATATCGCTTCATGCAACAGCGGTCATCGATCCGTTCTCTGCCCGTGTTTCTTTCAACTTCAGTGGACTGCTATCCAACTTCCCGTTCTTCTTCTCGTACCCGTTCTCCAAGCAGGCTCTTTTCGATGATGGCGCTTTGGTAACACACTGAAATCAACGAAGAACTGAATTACCAAACTTTAAACGGAAAATAAAGCAGAAGTCTTACGTCGTCATGGATTCCGGATCGTTTCATAGCTGCCCTCTTCAGTGCTTGAGCTGTAGCATCACCGTTTATAGTCGCCTGTGAAGCTGAATCATCATTGGTAACATTTTCGGACGCAACGTCCGTAGATACAGAAGACGATGTGTCGTCCGCAGCATTCTCAGGTTTTACCACTTCAGATGCATCTAAAGCATGACTTCTTCATTAAAAGAATAAAAAGTATATCGGAGAATGTGAAAACATTGAAAGAAAAACAAATATACCGAAGTCTACATTGAAGTTGAATGATTGCAAAAGCACCATCAAACTTCTTTAAGAACTTCGAAGTTTCTTCACAGGCTGTCATTTGGAACGTTATCACTTGAAGACAGCTCCCGCGCCCAAGTAATTCGTGGTCGCCTTTCCTTATGTATGTCCAGCCTCACCCTCCTGCTAAGAGACTGTCCATTTTCGCAGCTCCACAGCGAGCGAGAAGGGTGCTATAGCCGCTCTAGTTCTCAAGGTTCTAGTTCTCACGCCCGCTCAGTTGGACCGCCCACTTGATGAATGTCCTCTCCACATCTGACGCAGGGCACATCGTTGTTGGGGAATCCCCAACAGGGGAGGGGGGTCGTATTTGGCCGCCAGGAGAGGGGGGTCGTATTTGGGCTGAGAAAAATTTATTTTGATAGTTGATTTTTCTCGCTTCACGGACGTTGTAAAGGGGGAAGGGTCGTACTTTCTCATAGTGTGGGAGAGGGGGGAGGGGTCGTATTACTTTCTGGCCTTTCTACTGGTTGAGTTGACTTTTTGCGATTTTCCTGTTTCATGCGTACTATGTACCCCCCCCCCCTCCCTCCCCTTCGACAGCAAAATTTTTGAGG